GAAAGGGCGACCCACCGGAAAAAACCAGGGGAGCCCGGGCAAAGGGGGGGGGGGAAAAGGGAAAAGGGGCCAAGGGGCACGGGGAAAAGGCCCAAACCCCAACCCCAAAAGGGGGGGGCCAGGGGGGGGGCCGCAGGGCGGGGGGGCACCCAGGGAGGGGCGGGCGGAGGGAAAAGGCGGGAAAAAACAGCAAGGGGCCGACAAACCGGAAAAAACCAGGGAAAAGGGAAAGGGAAGGGGGGGGGGACAACCCGGAGGGGGCGGGGGGCACAAAAAAGGGGGGGCCCCCCGGAAATCCCCGGGAAAGGGGGCCCCCAAGAGGCGGGGAAAAGGGGGCAACCGGGGGATGGGGCGGGAACAAAAAACAAGGGGCGGGACCAAGGAACACGGAAAAGGCCGGGCCCGCTAAGGGGCGGGGGCCGCGAGAAAAAGGCGGGAAAAAACAAAGCCCGGTCAAAAGCCAAGGGGACCAAGGCCAAGCAAAGGCGAGGGGGGACAACGGAGAGGGGGCGGCGGGGCACAGGGCCGAAAGCCCGAACCCAAGGAATAGGGCGAGGGGCCGCAGGGCGCGGGCAGGGGGGGCACCGGCGAGGGGGCGGGCGCGAGGGAAAGGGTCGGGAAGAAACAGCAGAGGCACGAGGCGACCAGGCAAAAACCAGGGGAGCAAGGCCGGGGCAAAAGGGAGGGGGACAACGGGAGGGGGGCGGCGGGGCACAGAGGAAAAGGCGGAAAGCCCGAACCCAAGGAACACGGCCAGGAGAGCGCCGCAGGGCGAGGGCACGGGCCAGCGAGGGGCGGGGCGGGAGAGAAAGGGCGGAAAAAAACAGCAAGGGGACGAGCGGACCGGGCAAAAGCCAGGGGACCAAGGCCAAGGCAAAGGCGAGGGGGACAACGAGAGAGGGGCGGCGGGGCACAGGAAAAGGCCGAAAGCCCGAACCAAGGAAGAGGGCCAGGAGAGGGCCGCAGGGCGGGGCAGGGGGGCACCGGCGAGGGGGCGGGCGCGAGGGAAAGGGCGGGAAGAAACAGCAGAGGCACGAGGCGACCAGGCAAAAACCAGGGGAGCAAGGCCGGGGCAAAGGGGAGGGGGGACAACGGGAGGGGGGCGGCGGGGCACAGGAGAAGGCGGAAAGCCCGAACCCAAGGAACACGGCCAGGAGAGCGCCGCAGGGCGAGGGCACGGGCCAGCGAGGGCGGGGGCGGGAGAGAAAGGGCGGAAAAAAACAGCAAGGGGACGAGCGGACCGGGCAAAAAGCCAGGGGACCAAGGCCAAGGCAAAGGCGAGGGGGGACAACGAGAGAGGGGCGGCGGGGCACAGGAAAAGGCCGAAAGCCCGAACCCAAGGAAGAGGGCCAGGAGAGGGCCGCAGGGCGGGGCAGGGGGGCACCGGCGAGGGGGGCGGGCGCGAGGGAAAGGGCGGGAAGAAAACAGCAGAGGCACGAGCCGACCAGGCAAAAACCAGGGGAGCAAGGCCGGGGCAAAGGGGAGGGGGACAACGGGAGGGGGGCGGCGGGCACAGGAGAAGGCGGAAAGCCCGAACCCAAGGAACACGGCCAGGAGAGCGCCGCAGGGCGAGGGCACGGGCCAGCGAGGGGCGGGGGGGGAGAGAAAGGGCGGAAAAAAACAGCAAGGGGACGAGCGGACCGGGCAAAAAACCCAGGGGACCAAGGCCAAGGCAAAGGCGAGGGGGACAACGAGAGAGGGGCGGCGGGGCACAGGAAAAGGCCGAAAGCCCGAACCCAAGGAAGAGGGCCAGGAGAGGGCCGCAGGCGCGGGGCAGGGGGGCACCGGCGAGGGGGCGGGCGCGAGGGAAAGGGCGGGAAGAAAACAGCAGAGGCACGAGCCGACCAGGCAAAAACCAGGGGAGCAAGGCCGGGGCAAAGGGGAGGGGGACAACGGGAGGGGGGGCGGGGCACAGGAGAAAGGCGGAAAGCCCGAACCCAAGGAACACGGCCAGGAGAGCGCCGCAGGGCGAGGGCACGGGCCAGCGAGGGGCGGGGGCGGGAGAGAAAGGGCGGAAAAAACAGCAAGGGACGAGCGGACCGGGCAAAAGCCAGGGGACCAAGGCCAAGGCAAAGGCGAGGGGGGACAACGAGAGAGGGGCGGCGGGGCACAGGAAAAGGCCGAAAGCCCGAACCCAAGGAAGAGGGCCAGGAGAGGGCCGCAGGGCGGGGGCAGGGGGGCACCGGCGAGGGGGCGGGCGCGAGGGAAAGGGCGGGAAGAAACAGCAGAGGCACGAGCCGACCAGGCAAAAACCAGGGGAGCAAGGCCGGGGCAAAGGGAGGGGGACAACGGGAGGGGGCGGCGGGGCACAGGAGAAGGCGGAAAGCCCGAACCCAAGGAACACGGCCAGGAGAGCGCCGCAGGGCGAGGGCACGGGCCAGCGAGGGGCGGGGGCGGGAGAGAAAGGGCGGAAAAAACAGCAAGGGGACGAGCGGACCGGGCAAAAGCCAGGGGACCAAGGCCAAGGCAAAGGCGAGGGGGGACAACGAGAGAGGGGCGCGGGGCACAGGAAAAGGCCGAAAGCCCGAACCCAAGGAAGAGGGCCAGGAGAGGGCCGCAGGGCGGGGGGGGGGGCACCGGCGAGGGGGCGGGCGCGAGGGAAAGGGCGGGAAGAAACAGCAGAGGCACGAGCCGACCAGGCAAAAACCAGGGGAGCAAGGCCGGGGCAAAGGGGAGGGGGGACAACGGGAGGGGGCGGCGGGGCACAGGAGAAGGCGGAAAGCCCGAACCCAAGGAACACGGCCAGGAGAGCGCCGCAGGGCGAGGGCACGGGCCAGCGAGGGGCGGGGGCGGGAGAGAAAGGGCGGAAAAAAACAGCAAGGGGACGAGCGGACCGGGCAAAAGCCAGGGACCAAGGCCAAGGCAAAGGCGAGGGGGACAACGAGAGAGGGGCGGCGGGGCACAGGAAAAAGGCCGAAAGCCCGAACCCAAGGAAGAGGGCCAGGAGAGGGCCGCAGGGCGGGGCAGGGGGGCACCGGCGAGGGGGCGGGCGCGAGGGAAAGGGCGGGAAGAAACAGCAGAGGCACGAGCCGACCAGGCAAAAACCAGGGGAGCAAGGCCGGGGCAAAGGGGAGGGGGACAACGGGAGGGGGCGGCGGGGCACAGGAGAAGGCGGAAAGCCCGAACCCAAGGAACACGGCCAGGAGAGCGCCGCAGGGCGAGGGCACGGGCCAGCGAGGGGCGGGGGCGGGAGAGAAAGGGCGGAAAAAAACAGCAAGGGGACGAGCGGACCGGGCAAAAGCCAGGGGACCAAGGCCAAGGCAAAGGCGAGGGGGGACAACGAGAGAGGGGCGGGGGGCACAGGAAAAGGCCGAAAGCCCGAACCCAAGGAAGAGGGCCAGGAGAGGGCCGCAGGGCGGGGGCAGGGGGCACCGGCGAGGGGGCGGGCGCGAGGGAAAGGGCGGGAAGAAACAGCAGAGGCACGAGCCGACCAGGCAAAAACCAGGGAGCAAGGCCGGGGCAAAGGGGAGGGGGGACAACGGGAGGGGGCGGCGGGGCACAGGAGAAGGCGGAAAGCCCGAACCCAAGGAACACGGCCAGGAGAGCGCCGCAGGGCGAGGGCACGGGCCAGCGAGGGGCGGGGGCGGGAGAGAAAGGGCGGAAAAAAACAGCAAGGGGACGAGCGGACCGGGCAAAAGCCAGGGGACCAAGGCCAAGGCAAAGGCGAGGGGGACAACGAGAGAGGGGCGGCGGGGCACAGGAAAAGGCCGAAAGCCCGAACCCAAGGAAGAGGGCCAGGAGAGGGCCGCAGGGCGGGGGCAGGGGGGGCACCGGCGAGGGGGCGGGCGCGAGGGAAAGGGCGGGAAGAAACAGCAGAGGCAACGAGCCGACCAGGCAAAAACCAGGGGAGCAAGGCCGGGGCAAAGGGGAGGGGGACAACGGGAGGGGGCGGCGGGGCACAGGAGAAGGCGGAAAGCCCGAACCCAAGGAACACGGCCAGGAGAGCGCCGCAGGGCGAGGGCACGGGCCAGCGAGGGGCGGGGCGGGAGAGAAAGGGCGGAAAAAAAACAGCAAGGGGACGAGCGGACCGGGCAAAAGCCAGGGGACCAAGGCCAAGGCAAAGGCGAGGGGGGACAACGAGAGAGGGGCGGCGGGGCACAGGAAAAGGCCGAAAGCCCGAACCCAAGGAAGAGGGCCAGGAGAGGGCCGCAGGGCGGGGCAGGGGGGGCACCGGCGAGGGGGGCGGGCGCGAGGGAAAGGGCGGGAAGAAACAGCAGAGGCACGAGCCGACCAGGCAAAAACCAGGGCA